AGGGCGGGCCGGCCGCGCCGAGCCGGGCCGCGGCGCTCACCCCTCCCCCCGCAGCCGCCAGCCTTTCCCGGGAAGATGGCGGATCGCGCGGAGATGTTCTCCCTCTCCACCTTCCACTCGCTGTCGCCGCCCGGCTGCAGGTAGGCGCTCGCGCCCGGGCCGCGCGGCCCCTCGCCCTCTGCAGCCCCCCGTGGACCCAGGCGCGGGGTCCTCCGGCCGGCCCGGCCACCTCGGCCCGCCGCCTTTGCAGGCCCGGACCCAGGCCCTGCTCAGTCCACAGGCCGCGGAGCGCTGCCGCCCAGCCCCCCTAGCTTCCCCCTCGTTTTGCCCCTGTCCAGATCGAGAGACACCCCCTCCCCACTTCCCGCTGGAATGGAGCAGCACCCAGCGCGGGCAGCCGGCCTGTCCTGGGTGGGTCCCTGCACTGACCCTCTGAAGGGGCGTCCGGCTGGCTGTGCCTCCGAATGTCCTTTTGGCCTTGCTGGGCCTTCTCTCCCTGGGAAAGGCCAGCCCCGGCCCATCAGGCCCCGGCGAGGGGGGAGTTGAAAGACCCCGCAGAGACGGGGAGTGGGGCGGGAGGGAGTTGGACCTCCCCATGTGGGGCAGAACTGCGTTCACATGCAAGAGCAGCCCTCCCCCCCCAACTGCTGCAGCTTCAGCTCCCCCTCCGGCTGCCGGCTGCTGGCTCCACCTGACTCCCCTGAGGCTGAGACTGGGACCCACAGGGGCCTGGAGCCGAAGGGGGGAGGGGTGGCTCCTCCAGGCTGGCTCGATGGGGGATGGGAAGGGACTCCACTGGAAAGCAGAGCCTGGGGTCAAGACGATGGCGGGGTGTAGGGGAGGCGGGGCCTAGGAGCTGCAAGTCTCCAGGCAGTCTCCAGGACCAGCTTCTAGGCTGGGAGTACAGGGTTGCTGGCTCTCTGAGCCTGGTCTCCTCTCCAGGCCTCCCCAGGACATAAGCCTGGAAGAATTTGATGATGAAGACTTGTCTGAGATCACTGATGACTGCGGCCTGGGCCTCAGCTATGACTCGGACCACTGCGAGAAGGTGGGGAAAAGGCTGGGTACACAGAACTTTGTGCGGAGGAGGGGTTGGCAGTAGGCTCTGCCTAGGGTTTGGGGGTGAGTGTGAACTCATTAAGAGGCACTGGAAATCTTCGGATTGCCCATCAGCCTCTTGGCACCGGGGCCTCCTTGGCCTCCACCCTCCTCCTAACACACACGGTAGCCCCTGCACTACTCTGTGGGGGGAGGGCTGCCTTTGCTTTGGTGCTATCTTCCTTGGACCACTTCTTACAGAGATCTATTCCCTCTAGCTGCCTTCTCAGCCTCAACCCTTCCAGGCCTGTCCCCACATCTGCAGTTTCCACCTGTCTGTCTCAAATCTCCACCCCTGAACTTTTTCCTCCCTTGTCTTTGGTTCTTCTCTTCCTGTCTTTCCATGTTTACTTTCATTCATTCTGAACAACTTCCCTGGACAAGTGCTGAGGGCCTTCAGATGCTAGGAGTGGAACACAACAGCTGTCCCTGGGAGCTTGCAGCCTGGAGGGAGGGGGGTATGTAAGAGAGAAATGACTGCCCAGATGTCACGGATGAGGTGCACAAGGTATGACAAGGGCAAAGGGAACCCAGATTGGTGGAATCAGGGAGTCTTTCCAGAGGAAATGTCAGCCATGCCCTGAGGTTATCTGAGCCAGGCAGATGGAGTTGGGAGCATGGAACTGCTGGCAGATGGACTGACTGTGCCCAAGGCCCTGGAGTTGGTGCAAGGTTAGTGAGTCAGTCTATCTCTGCCTATGTGCATTTATCCACTCCTTACTGAGCATCTGCTGAGCCCCAAGTGCTGTTCCCAGGGGTGGTGCATCAATGCACAGCATGGACGTGGCTCTGTCCTGGTGGAGTGTGAGGTCTGGTAGAGGAGACAACCAAAAACCATGTACCTCAATGGTGAATTCTGTATGAAAATCCTGGTAGCACACACTTGTAATCCCAATTGTTCAGGAGGCTGAGGCAGGAGGATCCTAAGTTTGAGTCCAGTAGCAAAAGCCTGTCTCAAATTTTAAAAAGGGGGGGTGCAGTTGATGATATAGCTCAGTGCTCCCTGGGCTCAGACCTTGTACTGGGCTGTGGGGAACTCTGAGAGAAGCAGTACCAGTATCAAATGTGACAGGGTTTTGAGGTGAGATGAGGCTACAAGGTGGTTTGGGGCCATTCTGAAAATGAATATCATCTGGTCCAGGAGTTTGGGTCCTTCCTAAGAAATAGAGTGACATCTATGTATCTTTGGCAGATTTTTTTTTTTTTTTTTTTTTTTTTTTTTTTTACCAGAAATCAAACTTAGGAGCTTGTGCTTGCCAGGCTGGCACTTGTGCTGCTGAGCTATATGCCTGCCCCCTTCAGCAGATTTTTAAAAACATCACGGTGTTGGTGGAGGGCAGAGTGGATGGGACGGACTTCAGCTCCCTGCGCTCCCCTCTCCTTATACCCTGGGTTGCTGTTGCAGTCTGGGACATCCCTGCCATTTCCTTCCTTCTTGCAGGACAGCCTTTCCTTGGGACGCTCAGAGCAGCCGCACCCCATCTGCTCCTTTCAAGACGACTTCCAGGAGTTTGAGATGATTGATGACAATGAAGAGGAGGAAGAAGACGAAGAAGAAGAGGAGGAAGAGGAAGAGGAAGAGGAGGAGGAGGAGGGAGATAAGGAGGGAGGAGGCCCTGGCTCAGAGGTACCTTCAGGGGAGCCCCTTATCCCCTCGCCTTCCCTGGAGGAGCCCCACAAGCACCGACCCACCACACTCCACCTGACCACGCTGGGCGCCCAGGTGGGTCCTGACTGGCAGCATGCGAGAGCTGAGCCTGGGTCCAGCACCGGGGGCCTGGCATCCCTTGGAAGCAGGTGGCGCTGGAGCCCTCAGTGCTGCTATTTCCTTTCCCACCGCAGGATTCCCTGAACAACAATGGAGGCTTCGTCCCTGCGCCCGGAGCCTCCTGGCCCCAGACTGTGCTCCGCTCGCCAGCCTTGGAGCCCCGCAGAGGTAAGGGGCACCGGCGGAACCGGCAGGGCAGCTGGAAGGCGGAGGAGCCCTGGAGCTGACCGCCCCCCTGCCCTCCCGCAGAGCACCCCGGGCCCCTCCCTCCCGCGGAAGACGCCTCCCGACAGGCGCAGGCGCTGTCCCCGGGTTGCGACTGCGAGGGCAACCCTGCGCCCTTGCCGCCCGCGCCCGGCGGGGCCTCGCCCTCCTCAGACCCCGGGATCGAGGCCGACCTGAGGAGCCGCTCCAGTGGGGGGCCCGGGGGCCGGCGCAGCAGCCAGGAGCTGTCGTCGCCGGGCTCGGACTCGGAGGACGCGGGCGCGCGCCTGGGCCGCATGATCTCGTCCATCTCGGAGACCGAGCTGGAGCTGAGCAGCGACGGCGGCAGCACCAGCAGCGGCCGCTCCTCGCACCTCACCAACTCCATCGAGGAGGCGTCCTCGCCCGCGTCCGAGCCCGAGCCCGAGCCCGAGCCCCCGCGCCGCCCGGCCTTCCTGCCCGTGGGCCCCGACGACACCAACAGCGAGTACGAGTCCGGGTCCGAGTCCGAGCCCGACCTCAGCGAGGACGCCGACTCGCCCTGGCTGCTCAGCAACCTGGTGAGCCGCATGATCTCCGAGGGCTCCTCGCCCATTCGCTGCCCCGGCCAGTGCCTGTCCCCCGCGCCGCGCCTGCCCTCCGGCCCCGAGTCACCGCCAGCCGCGCGCTC